TGCTGCTGTAGGTTGCAGACGATCCGCTCAGAGCTGTGACTTCTCCCCTCTCGCAGAGCCCAGGGTCTTCTCTGCCCCTCCGGAGGCTCCTCGGGTGGAAGCCAGCCCTCCGCGCTGCCTCACACTGCAGGAGAAGCTCCTCTCGCACTACAGCAGCCGGCTGGCCGTGCCCGAGGCGCAAGCATCCCTCGCCCCGCAGCTGGCCAGGAGCATCTGCGTCCAACTGCAGAACTTCTTGCGGAGCAAGTGCCCGGAGCTGCCTTTCGGCAGCCTCTTCCTCAGCGGTCCCCTGCTCGACGGCCTCGGGGTTCTGGCGGCCGACCACATCCACCTCATGCTGCCGGTGGTCCTTGACGCCGCGCTCTGGAGCCTCATCCCGGGAGAGGACACCGTGGTGAGGAACCCCCAGTACTGGATGATCAAGAGGACTGATCTGGAGTATTTCCCTCGTGGGCGCAGCCCCTGGGACAGGTTCATCGTGGGCCGGTACCTCTCCTCCAATGTGCTCAGCGAGACCCTCCACAAGATGTTGGTGGCCTCCATCAACTGGCCTGCCATAGGCAGCCTGATGGGGAGCGTCATCTACCCGGTCGTGGCCTCCCAGGAGTTGAAGCTGGAAGTCAAACACGATCAGGTCGAGCTGAGCATCACCCTCTTCCCGGTGGTGGAAATGGAGGACAAGGTTCTTCTGGCTGCTCCTCCTGAAGGACTGGTGGAAAACCTCTGGCTTGAGAGCTTTTACAGGGCAGAGGTCTCGAAGGTGAAGGAGCTGGATGCCGGCGACTCCGGGGCTCGGCAGCACTGCCTCTGCATCCTGAACGGCATCTGCAAGAGCCATCCCACCCTGCACAAACTGAGTGGCAGCCCCTTGACCCACGTCATCCTTCACCTCAGTGCCACCAGTTCGGACTGGGCAGAAGAAAACCTTGCTGACAGGTTCCAGCAGGTGCTTGAGGAGCTGGTAGGCTACCTGGAGAAAGGGGTCCTGCCTTCCTATTTCAACCACAAAATCAACCTCTTCTGCGAGCTGTTGGAAGAGGAAATCGATGAGATGGGCTTTATGCTCTA